GAACTGCGGTCAACTACGTGGGAGTCCAGCGACATAGCCATTAGGCTAACTGCTAGTTCCCTACTTGAGAATTTCTTATAGTTATTAAGTTCACCAGTATTTTTCCAGGAAGCCTATTTCAAAATTTTGGAGACATTGACTTTTCTTACTTATTCTCCACTTCCAAACTGGTTCCTAAGAGGGAGATAGCATTCCACAGAAGAAATAATGTGTGTTTGGGAGTCAGAAAAACTTGGATTTAAATCCTTGCTCCTTCAATTACTAGCTGTCTGATCCTGAGTACATCACTAAGCCACTCTGGTTCTTATTTTTTCTCATCAGTTAAATGAAAATAATCATAGTACCTAATTTCTACAATCAATGTGAGAATTAGCTAATGTATGAATAGAATAGTGCCTAGTATATAGTGCCTAGTACATAGTAAGTGTTCAATAAACATTAATTACTATAACTGATAATAATATTATTATTGTAACTGCCTTATTTTTTGTAACTATTCCATTTTTTATTTTACATTGCTTTGAATCTATTTTAGGCCCTTATTACCCTTGTTATTTTCACTCCTTATTCCTTGTATTTTCTCACTCCATTCTGTATTGCTGTCATGATTTTTTTGTTTTTGTTTTTTTGAGAGGTTTTTGCTATAGGGCGCATGTGCTCGCCAGATAGACAGAGAGAGACAGAGAGACAGAAAGCGAGAAATCCCCCGTCATGCATGCACATGCACTCAGCTTGAGTTTAAGCCACCGGGTTCGGGACTCAAAGCATAGTCGACTACATGAGAGTCCAATGACATAATCATTACGCCAACTGCTGGTCCCAGCTGTCATGATTTTTTTCTAAGATGAGCTTTTTAAGAGTGTATTAATGGCTCTCTATTTCCCATGCACCACAAGGTACATAGTATGGTAGACAATGCTTTTCTTAACTTTAGAGGTCTGTCTCTCACTATTCCACTAACATGCCCACCATTCCATTCAAACTGGATTCCTACTGTTCAAATGGACTTCTTCACAAATAGCATTCACTCATTCTGCTGCCTCAGCCTAGAATATTTTCTTTTTAGCCTATCAACTTTACCTATTTTTAAACGCCCTTCTCAAAATCCCATTCTTCTTGAAATATTCTGTGGTTAATTCAAAGCCCCTTTCTTTGAGTTCCATATATGTTTCTGTTGAAGCACCTGACTCCCATGATTTCTGGCATGGTAATTTGTGCCTGTGTCTTATTTATGCCACAATTTCCCTGCCCATTCCACCCCATCTCAACTAAGTCAGAACTCCTTGAGGTCCAGGGCTGAGTTTATATATCCCTGGGTTCTCTGGAACACCTAGAGTCACTCTTGCAACATGGAGGGTTCGGCAACTATTTACAAGAAAATATGTATTCATCATCTATAATACACCAGGCAACATGGTTGATATAGGCAATATAGATGGTGGAAAAAGGCACATAATCTCTGTTTTTTGAACCTCATAGTCTAGTGAGAGAGAGTGAAAATTGCCATACAGCAAAAAAGTGCTACACAGTACAGTATAGTACACTATATGCACATAAGAGAAGAGCCACCTAAACTATTAAAAATGTACCTGCTTAGGGAACAATTAGGCCTGGTCTCAGCAGACCTCTTCTCCAAGTGGACTCTCAGCTCTTGGGATTATCTTTGAAACTTGCAGGACTTTGTCCATCTGGTGCTCCCTGCTACCAGGAATCAATCTACCCACCAAGAAACTTGTGCCTGGTCTCAGTGGGCCTCTTTGTGTACTCTCACCTCCTAGGGTTATCTTTGAAATTTATGGCACTTCAGCCTGCACATTGAACACTAAGTTATATCTCCTTAGCTTGTTCCCACCTTATCAAGAGCTGAAAGGTTGGTAGAGGAGTCAACCATCTGAGGTTATAAGTTTTATCTGCTCTGATCTGGGAGACATGGACCCTCTAAAAGATACACATCTAAGAACTAAGAGTGAAATTCCTTCTTCCAATACTACAGAATCTACTCCAATAAATAGGAACAAGTGAATGCTGCATCAGATGACCAAAAACCAGTGTAGATCTCGAAGAAACATGAGAAAACAAGGGACTAATTCTCCTCCAGGTTAGTGCAGTAGCCTCCACCAATGATGGACAGCATAAAGGAATTCACAGAAATGTCAGAAAAAGAATTCTGTACATTCTTAATGACTACACTCAATGAGATCCAAAAGAAAGCTAACAAGCAATTCCAGGAAATGAAAAAAATAATTCCAGGACATGAAGGAGGAATTCCATAAATAGACAGCCTGAAAACGAATCAAACAGGAATTCTGGAAATGAAGAATACAATACAAGAAATTAATATCTCCCTCGAAATATTAACAGTAGATTGGACCATGTAGAAGAATTTCTGACCTTGAAGACAAATCTCCAACATATACCAAACCACCAAAAAGAATGAAAATATAACAAAATAATAAGAAAAGCATATGGGACATTCTAGATACCATGAAACACCCAAATATCTGTATAATGGGTATTCCAGAAGGTGAAGAAATGTTAATGGAATGGAAAACTTCTTTCATAAAATTATATCTGAAAGGTTTTCAAATATGAAGGAACATGTAGAGATTTAAATCCAATAAATAAAAAAAACTTCCAATAGAATCAACATAAAAAGATGTACCTCCCCCAGGCACATTATTGCTAAACTGGTAGAAATTAAAGACAAAGATAATGCTCTAAAAATGACA